TTCCCAGCAGAAGGAAGCCAGGCATTAAAAAATACATTTTCTCCCTGGCCTTGTTTTTATGTTAATTGAAAGAAAAGAAATAAAATAAAGAGCACACAAATGTTGACAGGAGAAAATGCAATATAATTCTACAAAATATTTGGTACTAAAATGTTTTATGGAGACTAATGGTTCAATTATGGCTTAATATTCATTGCCACAAATATTGTGTTTGGGGGAGGGGCAGGGGTTGGTGATTCCACTCTCCCGCTCAGGGTATTGGCCCAGCCCTGATGCAGTGTTCCTGCTGGATGGAGCACTACAGTATCCCTCCCTCCCCATCAGAAAACCATGAGGATTCTATCTACTGTGCTTGAAATAGTGACCTGCTTCTTCAGTCTTATTATAGGATTCGAAAGTGACTATGGAGTCCTCCAAGAGGCAAATTTATTTTCAGGAAGCGGAATCGTAGGCTCAAATATATTACACTTCTTAATAATACAAAACTTTAGGGGTTGAATAAACGCTTCATTCTGAGGAAACTGAGGCACAAGAGGAGCGATTTGCTCAAATGTGCTTGGTAGAGTTGAGAGAACAGCATACCGAGTAAGGTGGAAGGAAGGTGATTTTGGAGATGACTTACTGAGGACTCGTAGCACAGTTCTTGGACCATTCGTTCACCCATTTAATTATTCTACAGAGCTGAACTGAGCATGCACTATGTGTCTAATAATATAGGAGGTGCTGGGGATTAGGGAGAACAAGACAAATAAGGCTCTGTCTTCTCGGAGCCTGCAGTATAGTAGGGGATATGGATAACAAAGGAGTCAACATCCCAAATTAATTATAGATTTTTATTGGGCTTATAGAACCACTAAGTAGAGTGCAAGGTCATAGAAAATGAGAAAGGAACTCATGCTACTTTGTCTCTTAGAAGATATTTGTGAAGGCTGAGGTCAGGCTGACTTTGAGAGTCACTGGCAACTGCAAGTACAGAGACAGCGAAGCGGGAAAAGAATGTTATACTACGTGACAGGTGGAGAGCCTCTGAAATAGAGTGAAGGAGGCCGGAGGCTGGCAAGGAGGCTGGAGAGAGAGGCTGGGTCAGATCATGCAGGGCACAGATTTTTGAATTAAAAGCATGCTCAGCACATGGCAGATGAAATGATTACTATCTCTGAGCTTCAATTTTCATTTGCAAAAGAAGGATAATACGAATCATATCGATGTGATTGTGTCGATTAAAGGAAATGGTTGCTTATTACACAGCATGGTGTCAGTCATTTCCTATGTATAATTTTTCCTACCCTGTGCTTCATCTTTAAATGCATCCCCCAGCAGCCATTCCCCTGGTAGAATCACACTCAGGATGAGTGAGAGAGAGTGCAAGTGTGCTGGGCAATGAAGAACAGGCAGGAGCATAGTCGGACTCGGGAGAAGTGGGAGTGAGAAGGAGCAGGGGAGCTGGAGTTTCCACTGAAGGAGGTTAGAAAGAGGGCAGCATTCTCGCCAAGCAGCAGGATGCCTGCTGGGTGGTGGTGGCTGGACAGGGAGAGACTGAGAACTCCACCTGACTTAATGGGTCCCACGTGCATGCTGCTGGTTGTTGGGGCCGTTCTCAGACTGTGGGAATTCACAAAGGCAGTTCGTTCATGTGTAGGACCTGGAACCCTGTAGCTTAATCAAGTCTTGACATTTGAATTTCTAACGAATTTGGGGGAAATAACGTTTCAGATTCTCATCATATAGCACTTGTTCAATATGAAAAGAAATAATTACTTTGCTGGAGTGATTAGCATGCCCAAGAATAACTATAGACTTTTCCCCAATTTTTACTTTTAGATAAATGTCAAATATCTTCCTTCCTTAAAGCGCATTTGATTTCTTTTTTTCTTAAGAATCATTAAAAAGTGGTAAAATATGATGAAAGTTCAGGGAAATGCAAGGAAGTAATGAAAAAATGTGCATGAAAAGAAAGCCAAGTTAACCTGGCAGAGAAGATGATCTCAGCAGTGATTTTTGTCATCAAAGAAATAAAAGCTATTAACACTAATTTCATCTAAAGGAGACCGGCAGCAAGTGGTGGTGTTTTTCCCAGAAATTTCTGGAAGTCTACTTTGAAATGAAGTGGTTATCCATTCTGAATGGGAGCCCTTCAGTTTCCTCAGCATCAAAGTGGGAATCTTAAATTTATCCCAGGTAAATTTGAGATTGCCTGAGATGACACATAGGATGCCGGGCAGTGTCATGTCATTGGCACCGGGTAGGACCCTCAGTAAAGGAGATGAGTCTCCTTCTCCTTTTCTCTTTTCTTTTCCTTTCTCAGGTAAAGAGAACTTGGCTGAGTGATGGCTGGCGACTCCTGACTCAGCTTCCTAGAGAAGCACTCAGCAGACAGCTGCAGGGAGGGTCTCTGCCATAGCTTCTACGGTTATTGACCAGGGCTAATGGAACAAGTTAAACTGGATCGCAAAGAGTACTTGGACCCCATTTTGACTACAATAGAAAGTTCCGGGGTCTTTAATATCACTTTTCAATCATAATACCCTCTTAGAGGACCAAATAAAGCCCCATTAAGCCAACCTGAGTCTTCTGCTGTGATTTCAAAAAGAGTGATTGTACTCTCACGTGCAGTAAGGTAGGACTTTTGTGTTGAAACCTTTTAAAGGGTTTTCTTCCCCTCCTCAACACATGCAGATCATTAGAACAAAAAGTGGATGAACAGTCTCTCATCCCTCCCAAGCCTCCCAGCCAGTCTTACCACCAACATAATTAAGAAAAGTAAACACAAGATAAACCATGATAAAACGGAGGATGCAGGAAAAGGGTCTGTGACAACAATGGCTAGTGCAAAGTTTAGCTAATCCCACTGCCCCTTACCCTGCAGTGTTTCCTCGTAGAGCTACTCTCAGATGGATTTGGCTTTTTTTTTTTTAATGCTCTTTGAATGATCTAATGTCTATGCTACCAGGAAAGAGCCAGTTAAATCAAAGGCACAATATATCCACATTTATAGAAATAGAGGGAAAACTCTAGCAGCCCTTGCCCATGGCCACCAGGTCCTTCTCTTGCCTGTTTCAAGGCTGTCCCGTGTATGGGAGAGATGGCCAGTTATGTGAGCCAAATGGGTATCTAGCCAAGAGAAGCCTCATCAGCAAATCCTTCTCTTAAATGAGATGGAAGTCCTCAGCCTCTGTTATAACAGGCTCCGTGAAGGGATGTTTCTTTGCATTTTGAGTGCTGCCCAGAAAATCTGGGTGTTTTTCCCAGTTCTGGTCCACACGTTAATGAACTATTAAAATTCTTAAAAGAAGCCTTAAGATAAAGGGCCGCTGATTGTATTTATTTACTTTTAAAGTTCTTTAGCTGTTGACATCACTGCAACATACTTGCTCTCTTTACTGAGAGATAATGATAATATCTAAAGATTTACCAAAGCAACTACAGTCTAGAAGTAACGGATCTTTTCTGCCTAACTGGAAGAGAAACCGTTCATAGTGAGAAAAGCACCTGATGGGATAAAGGAGGCCAAGACCCAGTTTCCAGCTGTGTGACTCTGGAAAAGTTTTTTTACCTCATCCACAGTGAGAGGATTAGCCTTGATGATGTCTGGGATTATTTTCAATGACAGCTTTAAATAGATCTTTTTTTTTGGTGTAATCATTCAGGAGCTAATAGAGACATCTAGTTGGCTTGCCTGATTGTCTACTGTCAGGGCAATTAAAAACTTTGAACTCAAGAGAGATGATCTTCAAGTATAAGACACAGCACTGGAGAGACAAGGCAAATGACTAAAAAAGCTCCTGCAAATGATTCAGAAATTCAAAGTTCTGCATTTGTGTGGAGGGGTTGTTCTTATGAAAATGACCCATTACCAGTCAATCACATAGCAACCCCAGACCATTTAAACTAGGGAGTGCAATAACAGCTTGTGTCATTTTAGATAAAGACATTGCCTTATGCCACAGTAACCACTTAAATTAAATATGAAGAGATACCTATTAGGCCATAAAAGTAGAACCTGGCTATTTTTTCTTATTTCTCTCGAATTCAGTCCCCTGATTTTTAATTAATGCTCCTGTTTTAAACATCTAGATAGCCTTTCCCATTGTCTTTGGCTATGCCAGAATTTCTCAACCCCAGTGCTATTGATATTTTAGGCTACATAGTTCTTTGTCGTGGGGATGTCTTATGCATTATTAGATGTTTAGTATCATCCTTGGCCTCTAACTACTTGTTGCCAATAGAGTGCCATTGTCCCCAATATGACAATCAAAAATGTCTCTAGACATTGCAAAAAGTCCCTGAGGGGGAAAAATCACTCTGGGTTAATAACCACTAGTCTATGCTTTATCTTTTTCTGAATTTTGACTTTTATTTCTTAAGCATAAGACCAATGCTATATCCCGAAGTGCTCAGAAATTATTACCCTGTTGTTATTTTCCTCAACATAACTAACTTCTTTTATTTATATAAGATTTCACAATTTATCAAGCATTTCCACCCACATTATCCTGGGAGATTAACGTGTGACAGCTCATTGTCTATATCACATTAGAAAAGAAAAGCATCTTTTCTGCGACTGTCCCTATGTCCCTCTTCACTCTGCTTGGAATCTGGCATATTTGACAAAAGAGGTCTTACCATGAGGTAGATGTATTTAGGACAAGCTAGGCATCGTGCAGATGAAATCTGGCTCAGTCTTTTCATATATATAGATGCTTAATCTATATATATGAAACAATATCCTCTCTGCCTCTCTGCCAGAGGGCTCTCCACACCTCTCAGTGTGTACACAGGTCCGCACGTCTACAACTACGTGTTGACAGGTGGCTTTAACACGGCCACCCAAATTCCCTGAACCCTTTGACTCTTTAAAGGCGTTCTGAACACGGCAGTCTTTAGCCTAAACTGGACTGCTGCAATTTAATCATGCCACACTAAGTGAAACCAGACGGCATTTTTGAGATAGAGAAACGAACATTTCTCCCCACACTCCGCCTCCTCCCAACCCCTCTTACCTGCTTAAGGATTTCGGCGGCCGTTTCATGTGAACAATCAAATATCACATAGAACTCCTTGCCCTTTTTCATTTCCTTGAGTAAAGGCTTGGCGTCTTTGTTCCCAGAGGGCAGCTGGCGAATTTTGATTTTAATGTTATATCTGGAGGGAGCTTTGATGAGCTCTTGCAGGCGAATTAGACCTAGAAAATGACATCCAATCATGCAACAGACTGCTCTGTCAAGAGAATACTTGTTTATTGCCATTTATAATCACACTCATATCATTCCCAAGATGTATCAAGAGGCCGCCTACCTAAAGGTTACACCATTGACTTCTCATTTGTCATTCCTCTTTCTGTGGCAGATTATGCTGTATTTTCCTTTTGTGGGTAATGTGCGGCTGGGAAGCACAATTTTCCCAAGTGTATTTTGAATTTATTTGGAATGCTATTGTCTTCTCCAGCTTGCAGTCAACATCTCAAACTTTTAACAAATTAAGTCTCTAACTGTAAAACTTTTAAAATAAAAAGTTGCTGATGCCTCTAAAGGTGCCTAATGCAATAGATACTCTTGTTCACTTAAAAAGCCAGCAGAAGACTAGAATTCCTTGGGGCTATAAACCCTGTAAGTCTTTCATCAAGTATTTATATATAAAATACTCTTTACTAGTTAATTAGTTGTGTTGTTCCATATAATCTTCGCGTTCCTGCCATATAAACTACTTATAAATGGCTCATTATAGTCTCTTTCTAATATGATTATATGCTGAATTGGGAAATCCTTTCTTGATTAAAAAAAAAAAAAGATGTAGAAATTTTAGAGATCACAATAAAAGCAGAAACAAATTCTTTAAAAATCCACCAATGATCATTGTAGGAAAATGTGTACTAACTTGACGGAGAATGTTTGATTTGCCACAAGTATGAATTCACTGAGCTGCACCGTTTTTTAGCAGAAGTGCTTTACTAGGGCAAGAGAGACAGCTATATAAAGCCTCCATTTCATTTACCCGAGTGTTAACTGGTGCTTGCTACACTGCATGATGTTGCCTCTCAGTCAACAACTCCTATTACGTTGGAGAATTGACTTTTTTTTTTTTTTATTACACAGTTCTCTGCCTTCAGGATTTGTCAGCTTTAAGTAATCAATAGAAAATATTAAGCTTTATCAGTATTCAGATGGAAATGGTGGTATGTATTATGCAAGATACAGCGTGGATACCAGCTACTTCTGGACTTCATGCATTTCTTTCATTTTCTTTTTTTATTTATTTAGTTATTTTTCCCCAGAAGCCACTTTTTTTTTATGGCTCACATGTTAAAAGTTTCCTCTAATACTATGTATAGGTTTGGTTCTGACGTACAGTAAATTTGTAATGAAGCTACTCTTCAGAGTCAAATGGGAGGAGGCAATGGAGGGGGGAGTTGGAGAACCATATGAAGATTTAGAGCTCATTATTCTTTTTTAATTTTTTAGCATAAAAATAGAAATTGTTAGAATGATAGCCTCCCTGGACTCTTGCTTCTTTTCAAATCAATCAGCATGGCTGAAGGCTCTCAAGTACCAATAATTAGCCACTTGCCCTCCTCCAGATCACTTGTCCTGAGCCACTGATGGGTACTAAAAATGGATGAAACACAAGCACACAGACGTGCATAGTTGCTAATCCTCACAATAATCCCGCGAAGCAAGCATTATCATCTTCAAAGAAGAGAATCAAGGCTCAGAGCAAAGAAATCGCTGGCTGAGGGTCACAGAGATAAGAGGGGCCGAAGATTCATGTTGCTGTCTGTGAGCCCAGCTCTCAGCCTTTCCCCTTCACCGCCCTGCCTTACAAATAGAAATGGTTGGTGCTGAGGGAATAGAGTTTTGGATTACTTGCTAAGATAGAGAAAAATTAGAAACGGGGACCCGCTCTCCTTTCTTCTTTACTCCAGGCTGTTTGTGTCCCACTCCTGTTTTTCCTTATCACTCTCCTTCTTTGCAGTCACATACTTTTTTTTTTTTTAACTTGGGCATGACGACAAGAGAGGTCAATGCGGCCTTTAAATAAAATGGGTGAAAAAACACTTAAGAAGCGCACTTCATATGCTTTCATGAGCTGCTCTTTTGTTCTTTGTGCAATGGAGCGTCGGTCTTGAAGCGAAGTACGTCTTTCTTATCATGATGACTTACACGTTTATGGCATTTAAAGTTGAATACGTTTTCTCGGTCTATTCGTTCATGTTTACAGAATAACATTTCCTGGATGCTCATTAGATGCCAAGCCCCATGCCAAACGCTGGGGACAGGACACACACCCACTCTTACTTTGAGGCGCTCACAGCCCGATAGAAAGATTTTATCCCATCAACTCATGATGTGTTTGCAGCATCAATTGCTCCTTAATTTTATCAATTACAACGAGCTGAGGCTGCTAGAGGTTGGAGCAACTTGCTCCAGGTCATATGAAGGCTGTTGAGTGGCACATAGGGCTTCAAGCCAGGTCGACCTTTTAACTCCCAATCTAGGGCTCTTTTCACCACATCAGGGACCCCTCCTGCAGTTTAGATTTCAGATCAACTAAGCAACTGACTGAATCATGAGATAACTGGCTATAAATAAATAACTGCAGAAATAAACAGAGAAAGAAAACTTTGGATCAGCATAAAGCCTTCAACCTTTATTTGGCTAATGAGGCTATTAATAAACACTGCTCTCTCCACCTCAGAACAAGTGACTATGCACTTTTATGATTGTTTTATGAAAGAAAGTTATTTTAATACCAATAGAGTAGAAAGGAGAACAATCTAGTACAAAAGGCCATTTTCTAATTGGACAAAATTTATCTTTGGGAAAACTCACTCCTAAGTCCCTAATGTTCTCATTTTGTCTGCATGCAGGTGAATGGCCTCAGGACAGGAGAAGGTCAGAAAATTGAAAGATTACTGATCCAGGTTTGGGGAAGAACCATGAGCAAGGAACAAGAAGGTTTACATTTTTCTTCCCCTAGCAATTGATTGCTTAAAAAAAAAAAAAAAAAGGCTTTCTGCCTTCACTAGCAAAAGTTATAGAATTTACAATTCAAAAAGCTTTCTTTTATAGTTCACCCTGATACAAAATTGAGAGACAGCTTTCCTTTTTTTTTTTCCTTTTTCTTTTTTGCATTTCGCATTTTGCTGCAATCCATCACCCCGTTGTAAAGGATAGTTAAAAACTATTTCCTAAACGAACAAATACAAAATTGCAGCTTTCCTTTTTTTTTTTCCTTTTTCTTTTTTGCATTTCGCATTTTGCTGCAATCCATCACCCCGTTGTAAAGGATAGTTAAAAACTAAACTAT